AGGAAGGAAGGAAGGAAGGAAGGAAGGAAGGAAGGAAGGAAGGAAGGAAGGAAGGAAGGAAGGGGATTATAATGAGAGGGTCTGGGGGAAGTCCTGCCTTAACACTTGGCCACCAGCAGTCCTGTTGCCCTTTTGCCATCCCCTTTACTCCTCCTCCTGATCCCTCCTGGTGGTCTCCCATCCTATTGCTGAGGATGCTTTGATTACAAAGCTGGGTCTCCTTGCATAGCAATAGCAATAACAGTTAGACTTATATACCACTTCATAGGGCTTTCAGCCCTCTCTAAGCAGTTTACAGAGTCAGCATATTGCCCCCAACAATCCGGGTCCTCATTTTATCCACCTCGGAAGGATGGAAGGCTGAGTCAACTCTGAGCTGGTGAGATTTGAACTGCCGAACTGCTGAACTAGCAGTCAGCTAAAGTAGCCTGCAGTACTGCACTCTAACCACTGCGCCACCTCGGCTCTCTTTAGTATGGTTGCTGGAACTGGTTATGTGTCTAGAGTATGAGGTTGGACTACAACACCTCCAAGGTCCTTTCCATATCTGTTATTCTGCTCTGTTGTTCCCACAGGGGAATGATGGTCCAGCTTCTTCTTTCTAAAGCTATTCTAATTTAAGCTTAAGGTTGCTATTCAACAGCTCTTGCATCTATCAGATATCGCTGTTTGAAAAACTATAGAATAGTTTTTTTAAAAAAAATTAGAAAGTTGGTTAAAAATCACTATGAAAGCAACGACAGAAATGAAATACATGAAAACATAGATTGCTGAAATGGAAAATAGTATCGGTTAAAATAAAAAGGTATTGGCAGTCTCTACATTAGTTGAAATGCCTCCTATCTTCCTGTTCTCCTAATTAAATCTTTCCTTTGCTAAGCTAAGCTGAACAACATGGGAAGTCCAAAGAGAATCTGAGAAATATTACTTTTGGTACAGTTTCTGGAGAATGAGTGGGTTCTGTGTTTACATGTTTAATGTTGCTCTGCTATCACTAAGGGACTATCTTTGGATTCAAATACACACAGCGATAAACATTTTAAAGATCAACATTCAACCAAAACAAATATTTTTTTCTTCTTGGATTAATAGCTAGACCATTAGAAAAGAGTTACAAAATGTTGTGTTTGTGTAAGGTAATTGCTGTGAGATTATAGCAGGAGCAAAAACAGAAAGACTCTGAAAAATCGACAAGTAATAGCCAGACAGAGGACAGAATAAGCAGAGGCGGCAAAAATGACTTGATTAGAAAAAGGACAGTACAGATAGTTCTCAACTTACAACAATTCATTTAGTGACCATTCAAAGTTACAACATGACCTGATTGGTTTTCAGACTCCCATGGGGCCACGCAGAGGTAATTTTGTAGGTTGTCTGTGTCCCAGGCTTGGTTGACTCGTGCTGGGTGATGATGTAATGAAAGGGCTTTGGGATTCCTATTATGGCTCTGCCTGAAGGAGGTAGATCTTTGTTATGTGGAATAGACTGGCCCAATGGCCCATTGACAAAGGTGTAGGGGGGGAGTTTCTGTCTCTCTTTTAGGGGAAATATTCTGCCCTTTTAATATTTCCTAAAATATCTCATTTTCCTAGGAGAAGGTGGGTGCTAATTTCCTACACCAGGAAGACCACTGCAGAGAGGAATATGCAACGAAAAGACAAAATATTCATGCATCCCACCATCTATCTAGAAGAATTCACCCTTCAAACTTTCAAACTTTAATGGGATTTGTATGCCGCCCACTCCCTAGGGACTCTGGGCGGCTCACAACAAATAAAAACATTTAAAACATTTAAAATTACAGAATTAAAATCAATACAACATCCATTTCATCAAATGGGGCTGGAATAATCAACAGCCCCAGGCCTGCCGGAACAGCCAGGTGTTGGTCGCTTTATGGAAGGCCGGGAGAGTGGTGAGGGTTCGGATCGCAGCAGGTAGCTCGTTCCACAAGGCCTCAACTTACAACAGTTCACTCAGTGGCCATGCAAAGTAACCATGGCACTGAAAAAGATATGACTTGTGACCCTTTTTCACACTTATAACTGTTGCAGCATTCCCATGTTCATGTGACTTACATTTGGATGCTTGACAAGTGGGTCATATTCATGGTGGCAATTGCAGTGATCCCCTTTTGCGACCTTCGGGAAAGCCAAGTTAAGCCAGATTCTTTTAACAACCATGTTATTAACTTAAGAAGTGCAGTGATTCGCTTAACAAATGTGGCAAGACCGAGGTGGCGCAGTGGTTAGAGTGCAGCACTGCAGGCTACTGCAGCTGACTGCA